GGCGGCCGGGGGTGGCCTGGAGGTCCGGTCCCACCACACTTTCTCTTCGCCGGGAGGGCCGAGCTCGGGACGGGACCCCAGCCCAGGGCGAGTACCCGCCCAAGTCAGCTGAGGCCAAAGTGCCCGAGGGAGGCAGGTGGCCCGTGGCCCCGCCCAGGACCTCCGCCCCCTGGGACCCCAGTTCTGGAGTCCTTAAGGAAACCAGGACGCCCTGTCCTCTCTAGTTCTCCTTGGAGAACTTCTCAGCCTGCCGCCCCCCCACCCCCGCCCGCTCCCACGAGTTCCTCTCCCATCAGGTGAGCCCAGGGAGCGGCCAGGAAGAGCTGCCACCAAGTCACTGGCCATCTTAGTGCGGGCTCTGCTACTAGACTTGAGGAAGGCGACCTGTCACTTTCTTATTGGTACTGCCCAGTGCCCCCACTGGTGGCCCCCGCTGTGTGTATGGAAATGAAAGCTTTGGGGACTTTGAACATACTTTGCAGACCCTTGGTCCGTCCCTTTGTTTCTTGTTGGGCCTGCCACGAAGCTTCAGCCCCCCCACCCCCACCCCCCAGTCACACAGCCGAGTGACCTGGGACTAAAAGTGAATGTCTCTGGAGGCGCAGTCGTTTGTCACTCAGTTGCAAAATTTTCTCCAAAGAAGTCTGTGTTCCTTGGTAGATGAGGTGCCTTTAAAGAGTAGACTAGCCTTCTCCATTTGTTGGATGGTTCCTCTCTCCGTGTGTGTGTGTGTGTGTGTGTTAACCTTGTGTCTTACATTTACAATAAAAATATAGGTGTATGAGTATGAAAACCAGGTTTGAGCCTTCTCACTCACTGAGCCTTAGGAGTAACTGCCCCTTTTTCTTTCCCAGAAAGTAGCAGTCAGCAGGAGGAGGCAGTTTTGTACTAGGATTGTTGTGGTTGTGATCCTTAACAATTGCCTTTGAAGTGTTTCTTCTGGGCGCTGCTCTTTCTCCCATCTACTCCCATGGCGTCCCTCCTCTCCCTGCCTGTTGGTAGTTAACAATTCTTTCCACCTGGTGTTACATGCAGGGCAGATTCCATTTTAGTTTCATTTAGAAAGTTCTTACACTCTAGCTATGAGCTTTTGTAATCTTTTGTAATCTTGAAGCAGATTCTGACAGCATTAATATAATGTAGTGAAAAAAACAAACAGGGGAGGTGAAAGATACTGGAAAAAACCAAAATGAAACAAAATCATACCCAAACTTGCTTCTGTAGAGTTGATTCTGGTTCATAGCAACCCTGTTGGACAGAGTAGAACTGCCTTTGTGGGTTTCAAGGCTGTAAATCTTTACAGGAACATTTCAACTCCAAATGTTGTACTTTTTTTCCAAATGTAATTGGAAAGTAATTTGGTATGTTCTTTCCTGTCAAAACAACTATGTAAAAGGATGGTGAAAGTATGGCTGCAATATTATGTTTTTTATCTCCTTTAAACTAGCTGCTGTTGGGTCAGCTTTTAATTATCAAGGGAAACATTTCAAACTTTTTGTTTTCAAACTTTCATAATTCTGAAGTTTAAGAAAATCATAATACTCACTCTTCTCCCCCCTCTCTCTTAACAGGTGGTGTTTCATAAAATGTCACCCAACGAGACTCTCTTTTTGGAAAGTACCAACAAGATTTATAAAGATGACATCTCCAATAGCTCCTTTGTGAATTTTCAGATATGGGATTTTCCTGGGCAGATGGACTTTTTTGACCCAACCTTTGACTATGAGATGATCTTCAGGGGAACAGGAGCATTGATTTATGTCATTGATGCTCAGGTAGTTGGGAAAAACAATGCTTGCTTCTCCAACTTGGTAGCACAAGATGTAGAAACAAAGGAATTGCTTTACCTTCTGTATCATGTACTTCTTGGTGTAATTACAGAGGTGTTTTGGGAGCAGTCCTCCCATTGTGGAAATACAAAATGTCAGAGAGCTAGGAGATGTGGTTTACATCCTGAACCCTAATTAATGAGCAACTAACATTAGCTTTCCACTTTTTACTGGTAAAGAGTAGACGCTGTTGAATGAATATTATTAACTGGTACAATAGCGACATCACTCACTGAAAAGATCCCATCAGTGCTTATATAGTCAGAAGGAGTATGAGCACTCGGTGGGTAAATATTTCTTTCTGGAACTGCCCCAAATTGTGTTCAGCCCAACAAGCATTTATTGAAGGCTTTGCATGCGGTCAGCACCTGGAGGAATGAGATGTGGCCCCTGGAATGAGATGTGGTCCCTGTCCTTGAGACGCTTAGCTTTTACAAACTAAAACATTAGTTAGGAATGCTTTCTGAGTGTCAGACTCCATAATAGGTGCTTTCACGTACGTGATCTAATGCAATTTGATCTTCACAATACTGGGAGGCTGGTACTGTAATTCCAGTTTCACAGATGAGTACACTGAGATCACAGGAGCTTGTGCGAAGTCACATACCTAATAAATAGCAGAGCTGAGATGCCTTGGAAAACATTCTGTTGTGAAGAGATAAGTATGTCCTTTTTATATGATCAGAATTAAACATTACAGGCATTAACTTGGTAATTTATTTTTATTTTTAAAAATGAAGTGCTATTAAGTGACATAAGTTAATGTCTTGTAATGTGTGAATACTTGCGTATAATTAGGTTAGTGTATTTTCTGTGGTTGGGGAAAGAGGTGGTTTGTGGCTTACTTAGCTCGTTGCTTGACTTCTGTAAGATTTCTTGATAAAAACTTTTGTTCTAACTTACAGGACGACTACATGGAGGCTTTAACGAGACTTCACATTACTGTTTCTAAAGCCTACAAAGTTAACCCAGACATGAATTTTGAAGTGTTTATTCACAAAGTTGATGGTCTGTCTGATGATCACAAAATAGAAACACAGAGGGACATTCATCAGAGGGCCAATGATGACCTTGCAGATGCTGGGCTAGAAAAACTCCATCTTAGGTAATAGCCTGTGTGTCTGATAGAAGAGCCCCAGAAAATGTGTAAATACAACTCCCTCTCTGTCCTGACTAACATTGTTCCCCACTCTTCCTAGGGATCCTCCGAATTGGTGTGTCTCTCCAGGGCATCCCACCTTAGTGGCACATGTGATTCTTCTCCTTAGTTCCCTAAAGTTGAACTGAGTAGCAGCAAGCTTATATTAGGTCAGAGCAGGCATGAGGCAATTTCCAGTCCCCAGAAACTTGACTGTCTATCCTAAAACCTTGCCTCCATTCTCTCCCATGCCTCACAAGTCCTGCAGGCCCTTCTCACGCTGCTAGCCCACCTGTTGTGGCCAGTTGATTCAGACCCTTAGTGACCCATATGGGGTGTCTGAGGCTATAAATCATTATAGGAGCAGAAAGCCTTATCTTCCCTCGTCTCCTTTTGTTTTGTCTTAAGGAGACACTGTGCTATTCCTTTCTTCCTCCGTTCCCTTGGGGCTCATCTGGGTCTCCCTGTTTTTGTGCTGTAACACCTAGGAAGTCCTGTCCGATACGGTGGGTTAGTTTCCTAAGTTGACTCCTTGGAGAAATACCTTTAAATTGCCTGTAACCTCTGGTTTATAGAGGCACACAGCTCTGTGCCTCTGACTTTGTCATCTGTGTACATAAAAGTGTAATGGAGACAACTGTGTAAAATACATCATGAAGAGTGTACTCACTGCGTGAAAAAACAGAATTATTCATACTATTCAGGCTGGAGAGAGCTCTCAAGTCTGTGTTGCATCTCTGCTCTACATACTTTGAGGCCTTCAGATTCCCGGTCCATTGCATAGCGTCACCAGTATAATATAATCGCATACTGTCTGTCTTCACATGCTATTTACTTTCCTCCATCGGCTTCATTCACTTGTGTATTTATTTAGTCGTGCTCAAGGCAGTGGACTTACAGCGATGAGTGAGGCCTGGAGAGTCTCTGCCCTCATGGAGCTTATGTTCTGATTAGGGAGACCTCTGAAAGGCACTGGTAAACGAGCAGTTGCTTTTAAGTTAAAAATGAAGACATATGTAGGTATTTGTGTTTACACCATATACGAGTATGCAGTATAATTATAAATGATATTAAGTAATTACAAGTACTTTAAAGGAACATTCATTAGGGGGAAGAGAACCTGTTTTTTGTTGGTTTTTTTTTTTTAAAGAAAGCCTGTTTCAGATGGGATGGTCGGGCAAGAACTCTCTGAGGAGGTGACATTTTAGTAGAAGCCTGAATGCTTGTATAGTAAGTGCCACCACATATCCTCTGAGCTTTCTCTTGGTTTTTATTTTTGGCCTCTCATTTTTTGTTTTTATTTTTTGGCCTCCGTTCAGTTACGTACTTGAGAGGCTGAGCTTTTCTGATCAGTTTGCAAGGACTTAGGTAAAGATTCAGGTCTCTGCATAGGAAAATGCTTTCCTGGGCATCACCTCAGTTGCCCTCAGTTAAAATGCAGTAAAGTGAGGAAAAGCCACAGGCCCGGTGGCAACTGGCATTTGTCACCTTGAACGATGGGGATTGTGGACAAGTTAAAGAGGCTTTATTTGAACTTACTGAAATCAGGGTTGTGACGCTTACCATTTTATGTATTATGACAGTTTTTGCTTAACTTAAGATTTATTTCTCAAATAAATCCAACTGTTATGTTTTTCAGCTTTTATTTGACTAGTATCTATGATCATTCAATATTCGAAGCCTTTAGTAAGGTGGTACAGAAACTCATTCCACAGCTGCCGACCTTGGAAAACCTATTAAATATCTTTATATCAGTAAGTAAGCTTATTTCATTCAATTCATTATTGTTTCTGATTCCATTTCCATTGAATCTTGTCTGTGTTGTTAGGTTCTCAAAAAATGCTCTCCCCTCTTTCAAATTCAGGAATGAAAAATTTGCTCATGCTTCCTTAGATTAGAAAACATCTTTATGACGTGTTTCCTAAAGTAGTAAGTGAGCTGTGGGAATTTGACTTGGTCTAATCTCTGCCTAAATGGAGGTCACATTGAAAGATTGATTTTTTTTTCCTTTCCCTTTTGATGTTAAATGTCATACTATGTCATATTTTATAGTCTTAAGGATTCAGCTGGATAAAAAAGGATATTCCCTCAATAACGTCCCAAGTTTAGCCGTTCTGTCTTCCAAAAATTGCTTTGAAAAAGACTGTAATGTCTTGGTTAGCCCCTAGTAGACTCTTTGTGATTTTGGGATTAATGTTAGATGTTGATGTCAAGCTGTGACTCTTTATGTTTTGCTGATTGCCACATAAAGCCATGTCAGTAGCAAGGTCATCCAGATTTGAGATTAATTGTTTTAACATGGAAGAACTATTAAAAATGTAGCATGGCTTGTTTTTGGTAAAAAAATTTAAAATAACCTTTGGTGGTGTCTAAGAAAATAGTTCACTAGAATAGAATAAAGGAATGACTTCACTTATACAACAAGACAAGAAAAGAAAAATGCACGGAGAACACATTTTATTAGTGGTTACCAGGTGTGGAGATGGTAGTGAACAGGGATGGAAATATTGCACTGGTTGTACAGCCGTGACTGTAATTGCTCTCAGTAAGTTGTGCACTTATAAACAGTTTTGTAAGAGATGATTACAGTTTTGTAAGAGAGTCCATAGAAGAATCCTGATCAAAAGGGGGGAAACGTAGAACAGAATTCAGATTCTCATGGACTCCAGATTCTATGCAACTAGGAGGCTTGGGGCAATTCTTGAAACTGTTGCCTTGAGACAGCCTTTAAATCTTAAATCAAAAACAGCCCCTGAAATTTTCTTAAAACCATAGTTTAACTTAACTAGTAAAAAAAAAAAATCTTTAAAGAATTATCTGCACGGTATCAAATTGCGGAAGAATGACTCGGAAAAGGCTACGAGAATGGCTGCATAACCGGAAGAATATAATCACTGCCACCGAGTTGTCTGTATAGAAACCATCGAATTGGTGTATGTTTTGCTGTGTATATTCTCAACAAGAAAATAAAACTTTAAAATAAATAGAAAGGAAAAAAGAAATTTGACTGGTGGGACTATATCAGTAGATCAGAGCAAAGAAATAACTCCATTTCCATCCTTTGGATAATAGAGATGTTTGCATCTTGGCATTGAATATTGTGTAATGAGAATGACCTTGGATGCTATTCAGTGATTCGAGATCTCTGCGAAGTTACACATTATGATTCTTTAAAGAACTGAACACTTCCCCAATTTTGTTTTTCCAAGAATTCAGGTATTGAAAAAGCATTTCTCTTCGACGTTGTCAGCAAAATCTACATTGCCACCGACAGTTCCCCTGTGGATATGCAATCTTATGAGCTTTGCTGTGACATGATTGATGTTGTAATTGATGTGTCGTGTATATATGGGTAAGTTGTATACAGACTTCGGCTAGCTATCAGACAAGTGGAACCCTAAACTGATGGGTAAATGCTCCTCCACGGAGCGTAGGTTCTCACGAGGCGGGCTGCTGGGTGTGATTCCTTCCAGGAGCATAGGTAAGAGCAGTTGACAAGTGGGACTAGTGCTGGTTTCTTTATCATACAAAGTTCCTCCCCTTATAATTTGGGGGATGTGCACTGTGCCTTTTAAATGTATTTAGATTAAGAACAGAAACAAAAAGCTAGTTTGTCAGAATGGTCTGTACAACAAAGTTTAAGTGCTGGTTCCTAATTTAATCTTCAGACTTTGCGGCAGGAGGACCCTTACTCTTTCGGAGAGCAAAGAAGCAAGTTGCAAGTTTGACCCATCTAAGGTTCAAAAACAAATCTCTCAAATGTAAGCTCTTCCTTGATCTAAGTTCTTGAACACTTGTACACACAGAAATGGGTTGTTGTTAGGGGCCCTCCAGTTGGTTGTGACTCATAGCGACCCTCTGAATAGCAGAAGGAAACACTGCTCAGCCCTGCGCCAGCCTCACAATAAGCCAACGGTCTTTCCGCTGAGCTCGGGGGTCGAACCAGAACTTTGTGGAGAATGAGTAGAATTTCAAAGGGCAGTAAACCTGTGTACGATAGCTCTACTTCTCCTAATATACCACCCTTGGGTCCCCAAGATGCTTTCTGACTCTGCTTTCTGATACCTGGGTCCTCTGCTGTTCTTCTCCTGTCAGCACCACCTGATCTTGTCTGTCCCTGTTCGTCTTCTCGCTCTGGTCTCTGCCAGATTTGCCACTGTCTTTCCTCGCCGCCTCCAAGTACTTGTTCATCCTTTGTTGATCTGTCCTGTCTCCTTTGTCTTTCTATTCAGTTTCCCTTGTGTGATTACATGCTCCGTTTGGATATAAATTTTTTGTGATGGATATGAGGCACACAAAGTCTCATGTTTCCCATTTCCTAATGTTAAAAAATGGACGAGTAGAACATTTGTGATTTCTGTAAAACAGACTAAAATCTCATAAACTTATTTAAAAATCAAATTTAATTCTAAAATTGCTTTTCATTTCCTTATATTGTAAAATACAGTGTGCATTATAAAAAAGACGAAAGAGTATCCATTATTTCATTTATTAACTTCATCTGTTTCAGCACTTTGGTGCATTTAATTTGCTTTTTATTTGACCCTTATAATAATGTGTAGTAAAGCTACACATAAATTCTGACAATTCTAAATTAATAAAGTGTTTTTTAAACCCCATAAGTTTCACTTGTCAAGTGGTAGGATTCTAAAGAATCATTAATAGGTACCACCCCTTGTCCCCTTTATAACTTTTTGTCGTGAATTGGGTGAGGGTTTACAGTGAAAATCTTTTTCCATTTAATAGTTAACACACATTTTGCATTATTACATCATTGTTTGCAATCCCCATAGTATGACATCACTTACACTCCTCCTAGAGACCTGGCTGCTGTTTGGCTGGAAGTTAAGCAGTGGGGTTTTCTTTTAGTTCTTATACTTCTTTTTAACTAGTGGTATTTTTTACTTGTTAAGCCTCTCTTTGTTTGCAGATCCCATGGTGGTCTAGTGGTTATGCATTTGTCTAGTAACTATAAGGTCAGGAGTTTGAAATCACTAGCCACCTCTTGGGAGAAAGATGGGCTTTCTACTCCCATAAAGAGTTACAGTCTTGGAAACCCCAATGGGCAATTCTAGTCTGTCCTACATGGTTGTTTGGAGTCGGCATTGACTCATTGGCAGTGAGTTTAGAGATTGTTTTCAAGTCAGTGCACATTAGTATGAGGGGCGATTTGAATCCTGCTGCGGCTACCCTGTCCTAGGTGATCAAGGTAAAGGTGTGAGGGCATGGGATAAGGCCCTCCCTCGCCCTCAACACACACACACACACACACACACACACACACACACA